CTTGTCCGAGAAGGCTAGGTGTAGATCTTTCCTACCAGAAGATCAGGGGTGTGGCAGAAAGACAGCAGTAAGGAGGAGCCAAGGAGTAGCAGTAGAAAGTCTGCAGAAAGAGTCAGGAGCCCAGAGGAGGGGGAAAAGGAGGTGAGGGCGTGGGGGAAGAAAGCAGACGACAGAGCATTGCTGGAGAGCAGGAAAGTAGGTGAAAGGAGGCAATTTTAGAGAAGAAAATGTTTCGGTCGCTGCCCGGATTCGAACCCGGGACCTTTGAATGAGAGGACAACACCTTAACCTCTAGGCCACGAGAGTCCCTTTGAGCAAACTGTAAATACTAGTGCAATTTAAAAGAATATTTAAAAAATATATAGGCCCCCAATGCCTCTTTCCACTATTCATTCGTAGTACAATTGTTAAATTCCAGAACTATAATAAGTATGATGTCAAAGGACAATTGCTGGACAACGTTAGAGCTTTATACACAGACAGCAGAAACTCAGTAAGACTCAAGGCGAAAGCAAAGCAAACTGGTTCTCTGAAAATTAAATAACATCAAGTGTCAAGTGTACAACAGGGATGTGTTTCACCTCTTCCATTTTAAAATCTAGGGACAAAATAATGCAATACTCTAACTCTGAAAGCCTAAATGAACTTCTGTTTGGAAATAATCGGCCTCTTGTTCACCCAGACTAACAATTTTAACACCTCCAAAGTCACACCAGTGAACTCAACAATAGCTGTGAGAAATTTGACAAGGGAAAAATAAGCACACAGATAACAAAGGTAATGAAAGTCATCCGAAATCAAAATTCCCCTAAACATTCTTGTGAGCAACAAACAAACAGTCCAATATTTTAAAACATTTTGGCAGCATTTTGATATTAAACAGGTCCATAGTCAGCTAAATGGAAATACGAAGTGAAAACGAAAATACCCTCACTTATCAGATCGCATCGCTTCTATCTCATCCAAACATCTCAAGCTGATCACTTAAGAGAGACAGTTTGTCACTTCAATGCTTATGCATGTCCCGACATCATGGTACCAATGGCAGACCTAGAAAAAAAGAGAGACAATGTGTCACTTTAATGTTTATACCGACGTTATGCTACCAATGTAAGACCTGCACATTAAGTAACTAAAACTGATGAAAGCAAAATTACTGCATGCGATCGAGATTAAAATGTATCCGCCAAACATTAAACATCACAAAAAGAGAGAGACAGAGAAAATATGAAGATGTAAGAGCAGCTGTTGGCATGGAGCCCTGCCTGCATTTCTTAAAACAGCTTACTTTACTTTTATCCGCCGCATATACCCTTTTGGGTGTCGAGGGAAGAAAGAGACGTCTCTCTGCCACCAGTCGGAGAGCTTGGGTCAGGGGGATGCCGTGAGTCGTTTATGTTTCCCCGACTCCATCTATCCAAGTCTTTCTCGGTCGCCCTCTAGCCTTGTTTTTAATGTAGGCATGTTGTGCTGGGTGGTGTGTTGGTAATCGCCTGAGATGTCCGAACCATTTGATTATTATGGTGTTGGATGTGATGCATGGCATCATTTGTGCCCACCATTTCTCTGATTATTGTGTTTCTAATTTTGTCTCGCCTGGTCTTGTTTACTGTTTTTCTAAGGCATCGCATTTGACATGTTGCAATTCTTTGCTCTAATAGAAAAGCAAAGGATACAATTAAATTAAGGGGGTGGG